ACGCCACGAAGTTGCGTAGCTTCAAAAGTCACAACACTCACGAGGATCCCAGGTTCGTGGGGGCCCATCCCTGCGACTGTTGGCACTTTTGAGACAAAACTGCGACCCTCACGAATATTCGGGTTTTCACCATTTGGGGGGGGATACCATGGGGGGGGGGGTGGGATACCGACACGCGACACGAGACCATATATAAGGTGCTGCTGGTGGTGGTGGTGGTGGTGGCGGCGGCGGTGGTGGTGGTGGAGGCCTCCAGTAAGAACTGTTGCCGCCCGCACTCTTCCCCCCCGCCCCCGCCGCATCTCGGGGCAGCTCCGAAAACGTCACGGCCGCCCTCCACGAAGGGTTCAACGAGGACAAACAAGGAACGCGGCACGACAGGCCCGTGGCGCAGGGAGTCGCGGCCCAAAGAAGCAGAATACAGTAGGACTGGTCAATAGCGCATAAAGGTGCGGCTCGAAGAAGGCGAAGAATCGTAATGTGGCTAAAGGCCACGCCGAGGGCAAAGCAATACGCAGCACGACAGGAAAATAGCGCACGGAGGCGCGGCGCCCGAATGAGGAGCGAGAGATGAGAGAAACGGCCAAAGGCCGTGCCGAGAACACAGCAGAAACGCACCGGGACAGGCCAATAGCGCACTCGGGCGCCGCCCGAGGAAGGAGAGACTGAGCAAGCCCACGCCGAGGACGAAGCAGGAAAGCCCAGGCTGGTAGACACACAGTGCGGGACAGGAACGAAAGCTCAGAACATGTCGTAGACCAAGCCGCCACACAGCCAGGAAGGGAAACAGGCAAGTAGGATGTAAACAGCCCAAACCATACCGCCAGCGGGTGCGCAATGCCAACACAAACAGCCGACAGATAGACATGAAGAAAGAAAGTGGATAAAAGGAGGGAGTGGGCCGGCTCAATGGGACGAGCCACCGTCGCCCAACAGGCAAGGAGAAGAGCGGAAGTGAGGAACTCAATGGTAGAAGCGGAAAACCGAAGAGGTCAATGGAAGTGTGAACCGGCTCGACCAGTGAGTCCAATCGCCCATGGCTTCAGAGGAGTTGAAGACAGAAGAGAGTGGGCAAGGCTGCAAGGGCGAGAAACCCGTCTTCGTGCCCCACCTAAGAAGGCCACCAAGCACCCCATGCTCCGTTGGGCCCAGGGGAGTATATACAAGAAAGTATATATATATAATGTAACCTGTATAATAAGAAACACGTGCCCAGGGGCCTCCTTGTCTGCTCTCAGCTCCGTAGACAGGAACTGCAACGCACGCCCATGCCTCGGCTCGAAAGGCAGGAAGAGAGGTGGGACAAACATAGACATACTAGAACCAAGGAGCATACGTATGTAGCATATGTACAGATACATAAGGTACAGATATAGACTGATATAGACAGACAAAGAGATGGTAGATAGATACAGAGAAGGATACACACAGTCCCTTGCGGATGAGATGGGCGTAGATACATACACTCGCGGCGAGTAACGCTGCGGCTCCCTGCATCACATTGACATGGAAGCCTTTTCAGACACTTTGTCCCCAAAAGGCAAGCGCAGGCGAAACGCCAAGCCCTGGACTGTCCCGAAGCGAACCCGCTGATGCGAAATGGCTCGAGCACCCGGCACTGCTACTGCCTTCAGCGCATAATCCTTGCGAGCAGGATCCTGACCATGGGGGCCACAATTGCCCATGTTTCTGCTATGAGAGTTGATCATCCCGTTGAGGTACATTGGCGGTAAGAGGGTTCGCGGTGGTGGTCGTGGCGGCACACGTCTACAGCTCTGGGGCTTCGTCCCGCCGGGCGCCTTCCAGACCAGGTCGATGGCCTGAGACACAAAGCCCGATGATGGGATTCGGCACTGCAGCAAGTCCTCTGCCAGGAACATAAAATATTGACGGGGCGACGCCTGGTGCCCTTAGAACGTGCTCCGTCTGACCCGGGCCGAGCCACGGCATGGAGCGACTTCAGCGCCTTCGGTGGGCCCGGGGCCATGACGACATCCGGCACCCCAAGGAGCGGGATTCTGTGGGGTGTTTTGTGCTGCTGTCGGGCCCTGGGGATGGGTAGAAAGGGCGGGCTGAGCGGCTCCGAAAGGTGAGTCGGCGTTGTCCTCTGCACATAGCAGGGGCTTTGCTCTGAATTCGGTGCAATGCCATGGCTTTTGGCAACCTCTGCCTGCCGTTGACCCAAAGCTCACCGTGCACAACTGCCTCTGCCAAGTCGGGCGCACAAAGCAGAAGCAGATGCGCCCAGAAAACTGCTCTTCTTGTTTTTGCCTCCAGCTTCCTTTCTGACTTAGGCCTCACTTTGACAGGCTGCCGCCTCAGTCTGGAGATCTTCCGCACATTGCTGCACATTGCTCTGTGTTCCTTATAGCAGCCCCTGTTCTAACACTTAAGTAACTCGTATGGTAACCCTTATGCTAAGACTTTCCGCGACCCTTGTTAAACCTCACGGTACCCCTACAGTCACCCTCGGCACGCGGCAGTCACGGGCGCAGAACCCTCAACACCACAGAATCTCACGAAAATAGGACCTGCTCAGGATTGCGGCATGACTTACGATGCAAGAGGGGAACAATGCTTGCTGGGGCCACTCAATACTTCAAAGTACACACTTCTGTGAAGCGAAATCTGCAAAGCTGTACCTGAGGAGCAAGCTCGTCAGCTAGTCTCATTGGCTCCTGCTGATGAACCCGAGGAAGTGCCTGATGGGAACATTGCACGGTTCACACAGCCAAAGGAAACAGAAAGCAACACTCTGACAGCGGCGTCTCCGCAGATCATCACCGATCCACATTGAACGACGACACTTCTGCCGCGACGTCCGGGTCGCTAGCTGGTCTCGTTGTCTGACGCTGTCCCAGAGGCCGACGATGCGCCTCGTGGCATGGATGGGAAACCGACTCGAAATCAGCAAAAAGGACTAGCAACTAGCAGTGATTAGCACGGCTTAGCTACAGTGAAGAGGAGATGAGTTGCCTCAAAGACCTAGCAGAAAGCTCGCAAACTGCGCCACTAGATGTAGAAGGATGCAAGGAAGTACCACTCACAAAGACTGGACTTATGAAATGTGCAGCACTTGACCACCAACCTACACCCTAAACTCGAAACACGTCGACGGTTGAGAAAAGCAGCTCGCTGCATGACATTCTCAGCACACCCTGATTGCGACTCATGATTCAGTGCATCTCGTCCATCTTCATCTGGCAGCTGCTTGCCATCTTGTGACCAGCTTTCTGGGACGTTCGCCTGAGCTCTGCTCGCTCGCGGTTGCGTCTGACGCACCTTGGGCCCACAATTCACCAGCTTTGGTCCGCGACATCACTCGACTGAACAGAGTCTGCACAAACTTCGCAGAGCTCATCTAAACTACGAGTAGAACCATCACTACACTGCTCGCCTGCCACTGCCTCTGCTGCAGTGAACTTGTACTCCCCAATCACTGGGGAGCAAGCTAATCTCATCGCTCGCTGATGCTGATGAACCCGAGGAAGCGCCTGATGGGAACATTGCACGGTCCACACAGCCAAAAGAAACAGAAAGCAACACTCTGACAGCGGCGTCTCCGCAGATCATCACCGATCCACATTGAACGACGACACTTCTGCCGCGACGTCCGGGTCGCTAGCTGGTCTCGTTGTCTGACGCTGTCCCAGAGGCCGACGATGCGCCTCGTGGCGAATACATCTCGTAGCAAAGCGTACTAATGTTGGTTTTCCGTTCCTCGGCCCGATTTTAAGAATATGCGCTCGGATTTACATAAGCTTGGGCGACTCCCATTCTAGCCCCTGAAGTTGTCTATAAGGCCTACCAGAGCCTACCAGATATTCATGGAGGGAGAATGGTGCAGTTTCACAGAGCAGGAAAGCCAAAAGACTACAAACGGACATGAACCTCCTAAAAGCTTGGGCCCTACAGCTGATAAGCCCTGAGCTTCAAAGCCCAAATCCAAACTTCCCAAACGAAGAGCTCCGCAAATCTGGAGTTTGGAGTGCAACACCATTCGGAGCGAAGCACCTAACCCCTAAACCCCTAAACCCCTAAACCCCTAACCCCTAAGCCCTAAAACCCCTAAATCCTAAACCCCTAAACCCTAAACCCCTAAACCCTAGACAACCCTTTAAAAACCTTGTTCCTCGGTTCAAGGGCTCAAGGGCTTGTGAAGCCCATCCAGGCGCCGTGCTCGAACTGCCAGCTTTGGAGCTGGAAGAGGCCGAACCGCCTTCCCGTCAAATACTAAACCGAAAGGCTTTAGTGCTTAGGCTCCTCCCTTGGCACGGCGGCCTGGCAAAAGCAAACCCTCCCCTAAGGTCCGGCAGGGATGCTGGAACATATTACTACGGTTCCTTCTTCTTCTTCTTATAATTATTATTGTTAATATTAATATTGATATTAATATTAATATTTACTATGACTATCGTTGTTATTATTATTCTATTATAAAAGAGCCTCAGGGTTTGGGTGAACTCTGTAACCTTGAAAGCTTGCATTCGGCTCACAGGGATAAGGTTTGGTGCCAGGAGGCTCTGGGAATTCTGGATGCCAAGGCTTTGGAACTAGAGGTTGGTCCAGTCGGGCTGTCGTAGTAAAACATACTGACTATACATATGGATATCTTGTGGGGGTCTCACGTCCAAACTGCTCAACAGTAAGTTTACGCGGCGTGATAGCTAGAGGTCTGCGAAAAAACTCAAGATTAACAGCACGGGCCTTCCGTGTCTGAAACATGAAAGATGTCTTTCAGAACCTGACAAGAAAATCTATAAAAGTTACTATCAGGTTATTACAATTGTTTAGTATAAGTCGTCTGTAACGCTGACGAAACGAAGGCCGTTGCCATGGAGCCCCAAACCGAGACTTGACTCGAGACTCGAAATCAGACCCAACAGAAAGACTCGTGTTACATCCACGGGCACCCTGGATAACCCGACCTCGCTGACGTTTTCGCTTTGTGGCACGAATTGCCGATATCAGAGTCAGAGCGACATTCGCCGCTCAGAGCACTACACGGCAAACGTTGATAGCATGGGCAGCAGACGGTCATGCGCATTTGCAAGCGCCAGGTCCTCACAATGCATGTGCTCAGTAATAACCTGCTACGAAAGCATGCCCACAGCATGAAATCGAGCCAAGCGTCTTCTGGCAAATCGCCTCTGTCGTTAGCAATGTTCTCCGCTCCGTACCCCAGGTACGTTCTGCATAATGCATCATCCCCAACCAACGCAGCTGCGCCAAGTGGAGTCAGACCAGGCAAGCTCGCCAAAGTCTTTGTGGCGATCGAGCAGGATGCGAAGCCGAATATTTTCGAGTACATGCCCGCTAATCGGGCTGCAAACAACAACTTGCTTTCGGGAAGAGATCGGGCGTTCGGATCTGCGCGGCCCTCCAGTAGCACCCTCGCAACATCCACTGCACAGGCTCTGCCTCGAGACAGCAGTGCAACTGCATGCAGGGGAAAGTAGCCTGCGCCAGTTGGCTTCGGATTAGGGTCGCAGCGTGCGTGCAGCATTTCCGCGACGGTCTCTGGGCAAGACCACACTGCAGCACCGCAGAGTGGGCTTAGCCCCATAGGTAGATGTGACGTATGAAGATCGGCCTTGGCTTCAATAAGAACTTTAAGCTGACCCGGCGCCCGCACCAAGTATGCACATCCCAGTCCCACCCTTGTCGTTGCTTGCACATCAGCACGAAGCTCAATGAGAGCCGACAACATTTCTGGATCTTGATGCGACTTGATGGCGGCCATAAGCATCGTCTGAGTGTCGGAGTAGCCCAGCGAATTTAGGCCCATCAGTCTACGATTCACATCTGCCTTGTGCTCCACGAGCAGTTTCACCATCCGCACGTCTCCGGCAAAAATAGCACAAAGGAGAGCATTGACACTGCTCTCGTCGTTGACGGCATCCTCAGAAGGGTCATGGCCACTGAAACGAGTCAAGCTCATACAAAACATCCAAATGACGAGGAGGAAGCGGACTGGACAGTCGCAAGTGGCAAAGGCAAGCGTTTGGAACATCAAACAAGACCTGCACCCTCCCTGCTTCATCCCCCCTCGCTATCGCTCCCGGCACCCTAAAGCGGTTTAAAACTGATGGTGCGGCCCAGCTAAAGGCCTGCAGGCTCTCGTAGCGAAACATCTCGAGGAGGTCGTCCACCTCGAAGGTCTGTTTCTGCTGACCCAACAACTTTGGGCGATGCGCCAGGTAGTAGCCTTGGACTTGGACGGCATTGTTAAACCCGAAATAAAACACTCTCACCGAGTTCTGCCTTTCTAGACTTTTGTCACTGTTACTGTTTCTAACCTAAATAAACAATAGTAATAATATGTAATAACCACAATAATTACAATAATACGTATAGTAAGATATATAAACAACATATCATGGTAGCAGTACTCATCTTCTTAATCATCGTCAACAACAGCATTAGATGATTGATATAATGAGAATAGCAATAATAATGATAATACGAATGATACTCATGATACTAATAATCATCATCATCATAAAAATAATCATAAGTACTACTTTATTTGCTATAGTAAAACAAAGATAGTCGCAATAAACATTACTACTAACACTTGTCACAATGATAATAACAACAACAATAACAACAATAATGATAACAATGACAATAACCGAATACCATGACAATAACAACAATAGAATAGCGGCAAGAAGAGCAATAATAGCAACAGTAACAATAACAATAACAATAGTACTAGTCACTGAATGATTTAATGAGAAAAATTTTAATCCATGTCCAAAAATACTAATAATAGTAGTAGTACTGGTAGTAGTAATAGCAGTTGTAGTAGTAGCAGTAGTAGTAGTAGTAGCAGTAGCAGTAGTAGTAGTAGTAGTAGTAGTAGCAGTAGTAGTAGTAGTAGTAGTAGTAATAGCAGCAGCTGCAGGAGTAGTAGTAGCCATCGTCACCGTCGTCGTCGTCGTCGTAGTCGTAGACGTAGTCGTAGTCGTAGTAGTCGTAGTCGCAGTCGTAGTCGAAGTAGCAGTCGTAGTAGTAGTAGTAGTAGTGGCAGTAGTAGTAGTTGTAGTAGTAGTCGTCGTCGTCGTCGTAGCCGGTAGCCGTAGCCGTAGTCGTAGTCGCAGTCGGAGTCGTAGTCGTAGTTGTAGTCGCAGTCGTAGTCGTCGTCGTCGTAGTCGAAGGCTTAGTCGTAGTCGTCGTCGTAGTAGTCGTAAGAGTAGTAGTCGTAGTAGTAGTAGTAGTAGTAGTAGTAATAGTACTTCCGCAGCTTTGCGTCGCAGGAGTCAGCCTCTTCTGTATGTGTATATGTGTATATATGTACATGTGTACATGCGTTGTGTTGTGTGTGTGTGTATGTGTGTATGTGTTTATATATGTGTTGTGTATGTGTGCACGCATGCATGTATGCACATATGCCTATACCAAACATGCAATTGTCCATCCGTGCGCCCATGTTGCGCCTCGAGCGGCTCAAACTGCTCCTTTTCGTGCTCCACCTGCATGAATTCAAGCGGGACTTTGATTCTGTAGCGTCGCTTGACGGTCCGACACCAACAAAAAAGCACGGCCTGCGGCAGTGTCGCTTCGAGGTGGCGTCGAACCTGGCAAAGGGGCCTGAACCGTGTAAAGAATTGGATCCAGGGTGAGGGAGACTTGCCAACACGCAGACATGCTTGTTCATGAACACGCATGATGATACCAGTTTCCTGCTCGTCAAAGTTGGCGTCTCTCATAGCCTCTTCCAGAAAGCTGTGGGGGAGGCTATCAAAAACTTTACGAATATCCGGATTGATAGAGACTCCGCCAACCATTTTGTGCAGCGAACTACCCTGAAATCGTTGAGGCAGGGAGGCTGCACTGGTATGAAGGAGCATACGGACCTGATGGAGGTGGGAGCAGACCGACTCAAAAGCATCAGCTGTGGACCTGTTTTTCAGGTGGGCCCACTGTGGTACATACTCAAGGTAACTGGCGATTTTCCACTCCACCTTATTGGCTATCATGATAGCCAACAACTTATTTCCTGGCTGCAGTAATGCAATTCGTCGCAAGCTACTGGGTTTTCTGACAATCGATACCTTGGGAATCAGATGGAGCTGAACTGGGTGCCACCTCTGTTCCAGTGTTGAGGAGGCTAAATTCATGATTGGAAGCAGGGCATCCGCAACTTGGTCCGGGACCAATTTCCAAAGCAGAGCAGGTGCCAAGGATGCTGGCAGCACCTTGTTAGCTCCAAGCTTCTGAAGTGCAGCACCAGGTCGGGTGCAGTGAAGGGTATGCCAATGACTGGAGCGGGCTGGGGCGATTCGGTGACCTCCGTGCCATGGCAAACAATACGGAGGAAAGAAGCGATGTGTTCATCCTCTGCCTTGCCGGCTGGAGCTGGCCTTGAGAGTCACGGAGTTGCATACGCATAGTTCTAGCCCTGGGGAGAAGCCGTTTAACTACGCTGAAGATGGTGGAGGGGTGAGAGGCTGACTCCGCTTCGGCCAGGAGCTGTTCAATCCTGGCTCTCTTTTTATCTCTGCAGGCTTTGCGTAACTGCTTGCTAAAAACCAACCTCGTAACTCTGAGTGTCTGTGAGGCAGTTGAGCCTCGAGATGTCGTAGACGTCAGAGCTGCTTGACAAGGCCGTAGGTGGCATCCGGATGGGTCTGCTGAGGGAAACATGTGTTGGGGCAGACATCTTTCCAAGACTGAATCAAAACCCTGTTCAGGACCTCTGCCGGGTCCGAAGACCAGCATGGAGGCATTAGGCAGCGGACTCGCTCAGTAAACCTCGATGGGGCTGCTGGTGTAAATGACGTGCCACCTCAGCTGCTGTAGTCGTGGACTGCTGATGTTGGGAACGCCGTGGAGAAGCAAGTAGAGGGAACTGCCTCATTCCCACTGTCGGCACAGATGGGGCTCGGATGGTTCAGGCTGCTGTGGCAATCGGGTCAACTTGGCCGGCACGACAAAATGTGAAGTCAATCTGCGTACGATGTTGACCACCCCGAAAGTCAAACTCGTATGTGTGACTATATGTGCGCCGTCCCAAGTATTGAGAGCAGTGATGCCAAAGTGACAAATCATCTGTTGCAGTCTGTGGTGATCTTTCTGTGTAGCCTCACCCTGGATGTCGACAACTCCATCCCCAACAAAAGGAGCCTGGGGGAGACACGGAGTGTTGAGGTCACCTGTGATGACGAGTTGGGAATGCCAAGGCACGCTTCGAATTCGGTGTCAGAAAGGTGAGTCCGGAAAATTTCTCTTTTTGCTTCACAGGTGCTGGCACTTGAAGCATCTGACCATACATGTTGGTAAGTGGCTATGACACAAACCGCAGGGTCAGTCTCCAAGCGTAGCAGCATAAGCCTGTTTGGGATGCGTGCATGGGAGCGGATGGCATTGCCTGGCACGAAAGACTTGTGAACGAGGGCAAGGATGCCTGCTTTACGATTACTGACTCCGCTGTGAAGCATGTTGTAATGAGGAGTCTCCCACTCCGAGGTGAAGCTCCAGTGGGTCTCAGTGAGGATGCAGACATGAACCGGCGATCCCTGTTCATGACAAGCCGTGAGCCAAACCTCATTTTTTGAAGACGAGAGGATGTGAGACAGCCAGTGCTCCAGGTAACTATACGCCACCTGGGTAGGTTGTTGGAGTGGGTGTCAGGGCGACGATGAGTGGTGGTATGGCATGGATTCATGTCGTTGCTCATTGGTGTGCTGGTTAATAGTCGTAGTCGTAGTGGTAGTCGCAGTCGCAGTCGTGGTCGTCGTCGTAGTCTTAGTCGTAGTCGTGGCCGTAGTCGTAGTCGCAGTCGTACTCGGAGTCGTAGTCGCAGCCGTAGCCGTCGTCGTAGTCGTAGTCGTAGTACTTTTCGTAGTCAGTCGTAGTACTAGTCGTAGCCGTAGTCGTAGTAGTAGTAGTAGTAGCAGTAGTTTTTTCGCAGTAATACTAATAATAGCAACAATAGAATAGAGTGTGTTCCTCCTCGCCCTCCACCCACTGTTCACCACTGCCTTTGGTGAGCGGCTAAGGTAGGAGAGGGGCCGAGCTGGTCGCCCTGCAGAGCGAAAGAGCTCTTAATTCGGTGCATTGCCGGGAGAGCGGGCTCGTCCCCGCGAAGGCCCCCATAGCTGGCGCGACAGACTTCCGCAAGGTGAGAGAGCAGTAGTGATACTAATAATAGCAGAGCAACGACAGAATGGGGTGTTTTGCATGGTTTTGCTGATTTCCCAAGCGGCGGTAGAGACTCAGCGGTCCGGCTGCTGCCAGGTGCTGGATTTTGCTGTCCAGGGCCACCTCCCCAAGCTTCACCACCGTCTCGCGGTCGCCTTGGCGCTGCAGTAGGGTTTGAGGTTTGGGATGTATTGGGCTTCGGGGGGCTGAAGCTTAGGGCTTAGGGTCTACTAAGGAAAAGGGCTTGTATAGGGTTTGGGGGTTTGGCTTGTCCAGAACCTGGCACCTTGCAGGTTTGCTGGCGTGATGTCCAGTTGACACTGAGTCGCTCTCTACGGTGAAGTTGCCCTCGCGGACTAGGTGCTGCTGCCAGTTCAGAGGGAACATGAACTCCGCTTCTCGTGGTGAGTAGACCACGATCACGCTGGAGTCCGCTTTGTTGGAGAGCAGGTGACACCACCATTCGGCCCTACACCAACCTAATGGTCAAAATAGCTTTCGCGACGCTCTTGCCAAAACGGACTCGCACTGTAAAACGGAAAGGTTTGAGATGTTTTCAGGGACCCTCACCTCGCGACAGCCAGGATGTGTAGTTGCAGAGCACCTTGGATGCCAAAGGGTCTCGTCTACACTTAGCTGCGTGCTTTCTGCCGACAGAGCATGTGCTCTGCAAGCCACTTTGGTGTCCGTGTGCAGGAGCTCCGGCACCAGAGCCACGAAAAGGTTACAAAGCTCCACATAGGACGGTATACCTGGACAAAGGGCTTACGCAGCTCCGAGCTTAAGGAGGAGGGGAAAAAAGCGGATAGGAAAGAGGTCGACTCTTGGGGTCCCAGGTACTTTTCACGGCCAAAGCAGCATCTGTCCTTGTCACGTCCTCATTCACACCTGCCTGCCTAGCCGTTATCTGTGGGATCGCAAACCAATCCAGGAACAAGTACCCACTTGCAATCTGCTTTCGTGTCTGCGGCGACATTTCTTTTCCCATTGGCATGGATATCAAGTCTTCCTCGACGTGCAAGGACCCGCTGATTATCCCATGCAGCGTGTGTCGCAGGATTGCAGCTTGCTGTCCGTGCGGGTCGGGATGCGTGGCTCCCAACCACTGATGGCTTACAAATAGAACAAACATACCGGGACTCCACTGATGCAGTAGCCCCCCGGAGAGAAGGACGCTGTGAGGCTCGGGCACACCTTCCATTTCCAAGAAGTCGGACACCTCGAAGGGCAGGGTTTTGGCGCGGGACGGTGCAAGTAAACAGTGTAAGACATCTGTCCGGTAAGGATAAAAGACTGAAACCCCACAGATAAGACCCAGCAATGAGAATAGCCGGACATCCCAAAGTCCAAAGCCTTCACAACGTACATTGGGAAGAAGCTCTCGTGCACAGGTGTGAAGTCCACCACATCAGCTTTTGACGCACACAAGCCATTCCCCATCTTCAAAACAGGACCCTCTCACCGTGAGCAGCGCCGTGGGATCTCATGCTTGCAGCTGCAAAAGTCGGCGGAGGCGAAAGTGGGTCCGGGAAGTTAAAGCAAAAGGGGTTTGAAGAACACAAGGTCTGCAAGACCGCATCAGAACTCTATCAACGTCGCACCGTGCTGTGAAATAACCTGCCACGGACAGGCTGTGCAAGCAGAGGCCCGATGCTCCCACCTTGAGCCATGGAGGAAGAATCCACCCAGACCTGAGCTGAAGTCATGCATGACCCTCCTTTAACTTTAGTCATTGCCACGCATCAGCGTTGCCTTGGAAACTTCCAGATTGTGTTTGTTCGTAAAGCAGGACATGCCGTCTGGAGACTCACCCAGCCCTGCCAGTTCTGAACTTTCGGTCTCGGTCGCTTTTCTTCAGGATGCGGGCTAATTACTTCGAGTTGCAAGGCGCTGAACGACTGTTTTTCTGCAACTGGCACGGACCTGGACACATGCAAACAGCAGGGCGTCGATAATGGAAAACGGTCCCACAGTCACGACCACACATGCGCAGCTGCCAGATGTCTTGCAAATCTTACACTTCCCTGAAGCACGACGCGTCCTGGGTCTCGCTGCATTGCTTCTCTGCGTCTCCTTCACCTTCTCCTTGCGGTCCTAAACTGCGCCCGTCCTCCGCCACCTCGTGCACGATATGCTCGGTGCGCTTGTTGGCAACGTCAGCAAAAAAGAAGAGGCCAAGCCCCAGAAGTGGCAGTAGCCGAGTGCCAGCAGAGGATTCGGCGAGACGCTTCATGGACCGCACAACCAAGCCCTGCCCTATCTGCAGTGACACGAGGCAGGAGACCATGCTCGAGTACCAAAAGAACGCGGGAAGACGCTTCAGGTTGTGGATTAATTGGACCAACCACTCTGCCCGATTCTCCAAATCACCCGTATGACCGCCCTCACGCAGTCTCTCACGCTCGCGGGCAGCATTCAACCGCTCGGTAATCGTCCCCCAGTAGGCATACATTATTGCCCAGCCGGAGCCTGCAGCATACAGGAAAAGGCCCCTGGACAGGAAGCTCTGCTGCTTGAGGAGCTCTTTCAAGGCGGTGTCGACTATGCGGTTCAGAACCCGCACAGCCTTTAGGCCTACCAAGGCCACGGCAATGACTGAGGCTCGCGAGATGCCCTGCAACTCACCGCGCATGTGAGAGAGGCCGGCGAAGAGACCCGCCCAGTCCGTCAGGCACTCTTCCAAGGGACGCAAATGAGTAAATTCGACTTGACGAAGCTTCCAAGTGGATTCGGCCACCGCTTGCCGAAGACTCTGAACCCTTTGCACTGTGTCCTCCCATTTTCTCATCAGGAAGAGCGCCATGATGACACAACGCAGGCAAAGAGTATCTAAAGTGGGTTCCTTGTCTGTGATGCTCGCCAGCAGTAGCTCGTGTCCGAAAACCGTATCCCAGTGCCCGCCCGACTCTGCAGGCACCAGTAGTTGCACTGACCGGTTCTGTAGTTGGTGCACGATAGGGTCAGCTTCTTGCTACTACTCCATGCTTTACAGCGGCAATCCTAGGCTTAAGCCTTCAGGAACATGCCAGCAACGTAAATCCACTACAACTCTGTCCGGCATTCAAACTTGCATAAGTTTCCGGCGGGCTCACTGTACGGGTCACCATTCACGGTGGGTGGCCGTGCGATGGTCTGGTCCACCGGCGAAGGCGGTGGGGCATTGCTGTAATCCAACTCCACCTGCCACGATATGGCCAACAATCACCGCATGCCGGGCTGAGACAAAAATTCAGGCCCATGCCGTGTGGACTTCCGTCTTTGGATATTCTGACCTGGCACAGAGTCAGTTCGTCTGATTGGTAATTCTGATTCTGCATCCTTTAAGCCAGCACCCATCTCAAAACTAGCTGCTCGCTGAAACGACTGGATCCTTGTGTACTTTTGCAGGGGCAACAGAGCACCAATCCGAAAACAGCTCCAGACACTCACGTCCTGCTCCCGCCTCAGAAGAAAAGGGTCGTCGCCCTTTTTTCTCCTCAGGCTGGCATCCAGCTGAGCTGCATGGAGAAGGCCGAACCTGCAGACTTGACAAAGCTCAAGGGACCACCTGGACAACTCGCGCAGGCCCAAAAAAGAGAAGTTTAGGACGGGGCAAGGGCAGCAGTGCGAAGAGGGTCCTGCGACGGAGCCATGAATACGGGATCGTCAGGAAAACCTTCCGATCCTTCCAACTAGCTACTTCGGACAATTGCAGACCCTTCATTTTCCGGATCCTTCTATTGCTCATCACGGGCACAAACTCACCTCAGCTGTGCCGAAACAAGATCGGACCGAGGGCGAATGGGCATCAGCTTGGGCCCAGACTCTCCTCGGAAACGATACGGTACCGGAGCACTGAGCCAAAAGCAGGCAGGACTTCTTGACTCACGTGCTCCTTCGATGCAGTGATCTCAATCCTATGGCGGACGAAGCGGGACTAATTCCCCCTTTGCATTTTGATACTGCTCACCGCTATCTTTGTCCACCGCATTTCACGAAATCAGTCAGTCCGGCGTGGTGTTATCAGGTCCCGATGCCCAAGGCTTTCCAAACCTGGGGCGCTGGAGACGACACCGCCATGCCATGACGACACATAAAGATCTGAAACAGCAAGTTCGAAGCCTTTGCAAGACACAGTGGCTGTGCAATACGTCACACTACACGTATCTTGACCAACTGGATGGCGCCGCGTCACATGCTCAGGAATCAGATTCCTTAACTCAAGGGTGAGAAAGGGACATTACGAGCTGGTGATGACAAGCCGTCCGGACCGGAGCCTAGTCTGCAGTGCCAAAGCACGAGAACCTCATCTCTGCCAAGACACTGCGCATGAGCTCGCAGCTGCAGCTCGATCTGAGACTGCGCGCCGGCATGCAGCAGCTCGTTGTCGGAGTCCTGTTGGCTGGGCATCTGCCACGAGCAGGGGACCGAAGGCCTTGAAGGAAATGGGGTCGAAAATCTCTGTCCTCGATGATGCGGCCCGCTGTTCGGCTCAGAGGCTTCAAGACCTACAGCGGTGCTCTCAGCTTCGGCCATGAAGCTGATTGGAGAAGCGTGGTCCCACGGCCTCCCAAGCCTGGAACTGCTGCATCACCCAAAAGCTCGACAACCTCCAAGATGGGTCGTTTCTGCAAGGCGGCACTACGAACATGTGATGCAGGACTCTTGTCAAGAGAAGCAGAGCAGCACGGGGCACTCTATGGCACAAGTGGTGCGGTCGCGGGATCCATGCCAACATCTGGCAGTTTGGTAGCACAAGATTCCTGACGAAGGGCGGGATTGGATTCGAGAAGTCGCCACTCTGAGGCACATTGAAGTGGAAGTCTTCATCCGAGGCAAAGCATACCTCAAAGCCCATCAAAGCACATCTCCGACTTGGCGACCTGATTTTTGTTAGGGCAGGCGCCAGATTCGCGGCCATTTCCGGCTCCTCCTCGAGGTCCTGGTCCCGATAGCATCGTGCAACCTGGAACACCTGCAAGGGGGTTTCGGCTCCGCGTTTTAGGCGTCGAGAGCACCGTGCCACAAAGCAGAATCAAAAGGCCGGGCAGCTGCGCGGAGAGTGGTCGCAACATCAAAGCTCAGTTGGCTGCTAGGGCCGCGGTGGAAACCTTGTCTGCAAAGCCAAGAGCTGCAGCATGCTGAGGGGGATGCCCCGGACTTGGGCCGGAACCAACAAAATTCAGCACCAAGATCCCACCGCCAGGGCTCAACCAATGCTCTTTGAGTCCTCACTGGTCACGTCTCAAGAACGCGATCGCGGAGGCAGACAACGCATGCTCCTTTGCAAATCCCAGCTTCGAGCGAAGACTTCCAGCGAGTGCATGTGCCCAGGGTTCGAGCCGTTAAACCTGATTCATTGCAGCTAGTTCGCAGCACTCGCATAGGACCTCGGCTCAAGAGACTTCTGAGTCTAGGCGCACATCGCTGATCACGACGTCGTAGCCTCGGTTCCGAGATTTGACTGCGACGGCAACCCTTTCCCCACGGATGCGACCACGCCAAAAAGCGGATGCCCCTTCAACAGGGCAAAGGCCGAGGCTCGTCGAGGGGTTTCCTGGAAGAGGAAGCTCCGGGCCTCCGAAAGCTTGGAGCTGCCCTGGCCTCGGCTTTTGGCTTCCACCGAGCTGTTGGCTTTAGGGCCTCTACTTGAGGGCTTCAGGACGGTTCTGGGGGCATAAAGACATTTAAGACTTCAGGATTTAGAGTCTCTAGAGCTTGAGGCTTTCGGGTCTTTAGGCGAAATCCCGATTCGACCTCCTGGCCAGCTCAGGTGCGGCTTCGGCAGGCGTCGGCCGAGGGCCCCAGAGGATCGCAAGCCTTTCCCGCAGACGCCCGACCAGAGAATGCCAACGGCTTTTGAAGCCGGGTGCGACAGAGCCTAACTAAAACGGCAAGAAACGCTCGGAGCAGCTTGGCAGCAGGAGTTGAATTCAAAGTGCTTTTCCTTGGCTGCATCAGATCCGATGCCAGCTCGGCTGAAGTTGATGTGTCTGAAGGTTCTACACCACCCAAGAGTGTGCGTTACACCCCAGTCTCCCCAGGCCTCCCCCACTGCCAAACCCACCTCGAACCCGAGCCAGGTTCTACTTCTTATCTGATTGCACCATTGCACCTCAACATCAGGAACTCTGCCGAGCCACTGCCAAGTAGAGGACAGCATCAGAAAGCTCCACCACATCAACCTGGGGTCAAGACTAAGCCGCCGGTCACATGCAGCCAAACGACCAAATGACTGCTTACTCACACTCAAAAGCAGGCTAGCCTGCATTCGGTGGGCACGCAAGTAGCTGGCCACGACACCAGCACCCAAGCCAAGCTGCAAGGCATGCCTGTGGGGCATGGCATTCTGACAGCATGGAGACCGACGATGAGGGTCGGAATAATTGGAATTAGAAACAGTATCCTTCCATAGTCCGTAGAATTAGAATTATTGGTATAGCAGTATAGACCCTAACCCCTATACTACTTGCACGAAGCCTCAGCGAGCGGTTGACGAAGAGGACGCTCTCCTTGGTCGAGGGCACAACTCCAGTGTCGTGTCTGTCACCTGCATGTTGCGAAAAGTTCAATGAATGCGACCCAGAAACCTGCACTGCAAAACCAGTAAAAGCAGCTTGGTCCTTGTACTCAGCTTGACCATACTGTGCACCAATGATGCTCGAGCCGAAGGTCAGAAACTTCACGCCCAACTCCTTCGAGCAAAGATCTGCGCAAGCAGACATATCTCCATGGTCACTCCCATGCACAACAGCCCACGGGCTCCCGATTGGAGACTGTAGCAACGAGGTGTCCGTGGGCATCTTTGGCCGTCTCAAGCACCTCTTGTCCAAAAAGTGCGGGTCAGCAGCTTGGAAGACATGTGCTGGAATCGCTGGCCACCCACCTTCACCACGTCATCGCCGTCGGCTCTTTGGCTCCTCCCACTTCGCACAAGCTTAGATGTTTGGAAGCAGGTGGATACTTGCAGCACGATTGACGGCTGATATCCCAACAGAAGCCTGGCATGACTCTGTTCATCCGACCCCAGCGACGTCCACATCATCCCACATACTGCCAGTCCCAGTACCTTGGCTACTTGCCTCTTGCAATCCCCTTTCATGTCAATTTGGCATTTGGCTTATAATGCCAAACGTCCCCAGTCAAAGAGTTATAAAGTGTGAGGAAGACTGCTTAACTTGTTTCAATGTCCATTTGCAAGCACGACCCGGCTGATCAATCTTGCACGACCCTCCGGAGTCAGCACAGAGCTCTGGCAACCATGTTGCATCTAACGTGCACAGCCCATGATGAAATTTGGTGCCGGAGGAGTATGAACCAATATGAAGTCAAAGCCCGAGGCACCAATGACGAAGCCAGTCCCTTCCAAAAAGCCGCTGGCCACCATCCACTCGCATCTGCGCGCTTGGAACGCTCGCCAACCTAGCAGCACTGACTACTTGCACGAATGTCTTCATGCAACGCTGGCTTCGACTCAGAAGCTGTCTTTGTAACTCCATATACCTTAATGCCGTAGCGCACACCGCAAGGTGAAGTGTAGGCACACGCATGCGTAGCAAAGTCTGCATTCTCGCAGGCATGTCCACAAATGAGTCACTGCTTCTTTCATGGGGTTCTCTGCACAGTCTTTTGCTGCTTGCCGTCGCGTAACATTGAATTTGACTTAAACTCGGCTTTCAACATGGGTTACCATTGATCATTCGGTGATGTCCTTCATTTCAGCAAACGTACTATGTTCTCGATGCTTTCGATCTCCTGGTAGTTCTTTGTAGACTACGTCTTGGTGACGTTCAACCGCAAGCTGGCCACGCGTGCAACCGCTAATGCAGCCCAGAAAGCCGAGGAGTCCACGGAAAGAGTCGTTCCTTTAGCTTTGTGGCGCTCGCGGCGCTCGCGCAGCCTCTGCATCGCCGAGACAGGTTGGCCATGGCTGTCACCACTTGAACTTTCGACTCGAATGTACAAGACGCATGGAGCACGAAACACCACTACAGTCTGGTACTGCCACTACATCTCAACAACGTGGAGAAAGCTGCAAGTGTTGAAATGCGTGTTGCCAGCTGGCAGACAACTCCAACGAAAAAACACAGGTCAATCGAACATCAATGTTCCCAGTACCCTGAATTGTCCGAAACTGCTGCATTGCCTCCGCTAACAACTGTGTGGCTTCTGTTGTGAATGCTACTACTGCAGGATGATTCGAGCCAAGTCTTTGTTGAGTCCTGGTTTCCGCCCCTGGAAACGATCTATGAGTTCGCAACATTAACATCGACGTCAACACAGCGCGAATTCTGAGGAAATCGGAAATCATCAATGCCGCATAATGTCGCTCCTGATGCAATGAGATCTGATATCTAAACTCTAGATTTGAATTTTTGACGATTCTACTGTTAGTGGCAAACACACCAAACATATGGTTGCTGCGGATTGCACTGCTTTCATCAAGTTCAAGTCATTTTTAAATCTAGATTCATGTCTGTTCGAAATTGGCAGTGCACACAAACTTGCAACAAGAAAGCACTTTCAAACGTAAGTCCAAAATAAAGCCACGTTTTTCTGAATCTATGGCGACTTTCAATCTTCAGGCTTGTGTTCGTTTGCTGGAAACAGCATCGGAAGCATGCCGATGCAATTTAAAACAAAACAAAGAACGCAAGAACGGCGAACCAAGAGCAGCAACCAGCTTCAAGCGCATGCTTGTACTGAGCGGCTACATGCCAGCTACTTCAGCAACATCTTGAAAGCGCCCTGACCGGCTCTACCCGGTGGGCGTGAAGCTCCCTTGATTTCCCAGACGAGAATCGAAACAACAGCGAATCAATCCATGTTGGTCAAATCTTGCTACAGAGAATGTCACTGTGCATCGGACAAACATTCAAGTCAAGCTGAAGCTCAAATTCTGCACCTTTGCCACGTGGAGTGGATTTCTCTTTTGATGATGTGCAGGTGAGAGACTGCCACTTGTCAACCGTGTCAGGCTGGATTTGTGTGTCTATCAGTGGAATACGTTGACGGAGATTTTTTGCGCAAGCACCGTCCTGTTTTCGGCTTCCAAATCTTGGATCAGCATGAATTCTTGATGGAAAAGCGCCTCTAGCTGAGCTGGCAATGGCGGAAAGAGGTTTTTCTGAAACTTTTTTTTCGTGGAGCGGCTCAACAACCAGAATAAGATGCACTCAATCCAAACCAAAACAGCAAAACACTTCTCATTTGGAACAAACCAAGCTTTTCAGTCTGCAGAGTTGTGGAGGCAGTTCATGCAGCCTGACAAAAGCACAGGGAGAAACCAACGGCGTTCCAAAACTGAGACGGTGTTGTTTTTCAGTCATGCACACACATCAAAAAACCACACCTCTCTCTAGGGAGGGTAGACCCAGCTCCCCACACACAGCGCTTGTGGAGGCCATTTGCAGCCATAGCTCAGAATTCTTCACTTCGGAGCCTCTCAATAGTGGACTCTTTCGCCCACAGGCAGCACTATTGTAGGGGCTTAGAAGAGCTTGCAATTC